CGGTGAAACTCCGACGAAACAGTTTGTCACAGCCCCTCGTTTGTTGTCCTCTTCTCTCTCTCTGCCTACGGTTTTACCGGGCAGTTCTGTTTGTATATTGTAACACTGTGAATCAGAGCGCGAAGGCGAAAAAAGGCAAAATAAGGAAAGGAAAAAGAAGGAAGGCAGGAAGGAAGGAAAGGCCCACCTGTTCATCACCTCTTACGTACAAGGACAGCCACGTTGGGCGCTGGCTGCCCCTATCCCCGTGTGTCACAAGGACCCACTTGCACGCAGCCAAAAGGCAAAGAGGTAAAGAAAAGGAGGAGGAAACCAGACCTCACAGAGGCAAGAAAAAGAAAGGGTATCCTCACTCATGTGAGTGGGAGGGATCCTGTGCCAGCGACCGTGATATAGCAATGGCCCTCCAAAAGGGCACAATGGCCCTCCAAAAGGGGGGGGAAAAAAATCTCCGCAGAGAGATTTCCCCTCCCCACCTAAATTTCCCATATCCGCCAGAGCAGCGACGCGGTGTCTTCAGATTGACCATACCCAACCAGAGCGACGAGAGAAAAGAGAAAGGTCCCACCAGCGAGCGGCCAAACGCAGGCGAGTAGGAGGGTAGGTAGGTAGGTAGGTAGGTAGGTAGGTAGGTAGGTAGGTAATCAAAAAGATAAGAAACCAAAAGAGACATGAACATCCGTGGGAGTCCATATCCCCCGCCGCCAGATCTGCTCGAGAAGACACATTCACTTGCAAACAAAAAAAAAAAAAAAAAAAAAAAAACAGAAACAGAAACATCGCTTCCCCTATCATCCCTTGCCCCTTCCGTCCGCGACAACAAAAGTGACACTGGAACGAGATGAGGTCATCCATCCATCCTTCACGGATCCACGTGTCCATCCACGTGTCCATCTACCAACACATAACGATGTCATCTTGGTAATACCGATATCCGTAACGTTCGTGATCTGATCTGCGTACCTGAGGCTGAGCCTGACCACACACACAGAGAGAGAGAGAGAGAGAGAAATGCCAGAGACCTTACCACGTGCCCGCAAGCAACACACATTCCCACCTGTGTACAGGCGGGTATGCTCTTCCCAAATGTCATAACAGCTCATGATGCCGGTGGAGCAGATGACGGTATCATTCATTCACTGCCGCCGTCTACGGCGGACCAGCCAGCCTCCTCCTCTCCTTCTACCACACATAACCCACATCAAGACTCCAGCACAAGCACCTCGCGACACATACATAGATTTAAAAAAAAAAAAAAAGCTCTACTCACCCACATCTCAACTATCAAGACTTCAAAGACTTCAGCACGAGCACCTCACGACATACATAGGTAAAAAAAAAAATAATAAGCTGCAAGCAAAATGTATCTGCATCTGCGACAATTAGTCTCTTTAGAGCCGCAACATAGACCATCTATCTGGGAGATAGTCCGCTTTCCGTTTACTCTGCTGCTGCTATAGGTTCCCATCGCCGCCGCCCGATCCAGCACCCCTCCTATCCTAACAGGACCCCTCCTATCCTAACAGCACCCCTCCTATCCTAACAGGACCCCTCCTATCCTAACAGCACCCCTCCTATCCTAACAGGACCCCTCTTATCCTAACAGGACCCCTCCTATCTTANCAGGACCCCTCCTATCTTAACAGGAACCCTCCTATCCTAACAGGACCCCTCCTATCCTAACAGGACCCCTCCTATCCTAACAGGACCCCTCCTATATCCTAACAGGACCCCTCCTATCCTAACAGGACCCCTCCTAAGGACTCCTCCTATCCTAACAGGACCCCTCCTATCATAACTACTACTCACCGTCGTTGAATTCCGCTCTCAAAGCTCTACTCGAGATATAGGTTCTTGCCGCAACACTCACCGAAGGTGAAAAAGACAAACTATGGTCAGTGTATCTGCGCGCTCTAGCGGAAGATGTGGTGTTCTCCGTTTTGCACTGATGGCAACTAGTGCGGCGGGGAGGCCCATACGCCGAATCCGATGCACATGTATTCATTCTATAGGGGGGGAGCCTCGCGGCGGAATGTGCAACATAGAGAAACAGAAGTGCGCTGAGTATTGAGAGATCATTCATATACCCAAGAAACACACTTTCACCCGCGCGTGAGGCGGGCGGGGCGGATCATGCGCGCGTCCCTTCCCCCTCCTCCCCTACCTCTACCTCCCCTCCCCTCACGCGCACACCCATTCCCCTTCCACATCAATACAGACAAATGGAGACAGAGGGTACGACAGTTTTTTGCGTTTCTGTTGTGTCGTCTTTCCGCGAGCGACAGATCGACTGATCGAGCCCGACCTTTTCGATCATCAACCCGTGTGACCGTTGCACGGCGCTTGTACCTTTTGGTGCGCGCACATCACATACGTGACGTGCGCGAAAGTACCTTTTTCTGCTTGCTCGCTTGCTTATCATTAGTCTGCGATAGTAATAAACATAAACACATATATTTTGCAGCTACCTGTTATTAGGTATTGCATATTCTATTAAGTATTTACTTGCTAATACCTGTGTACATGATAATATACGATGTTTTCCCAAAAAAAAAAAAAAAAAAAAACGATGTCAAGCGACTAAATCGCGGGTCGAAAGATGTGATCGATTACTGTTTGGCTGATTCCTTTCTTGATTGGTTCTCGACTGGTCGATTGAATGCTTCATTGGTTGGTTGGTTGGTTGGTTGGTTGGATGGTTGGTTGATTGGAGACGTACACATTGCGCAGCGTTGAATGGAAAAGCGCGCTCCCGATGCCCCCGGCAATCACCGACAGGTAGAGGCAGATGAATCTTCTCTCAAATCCTTGCCTGATACACGAGACGAGACCCAGTAAACCCAGCAACACCGACACCAGATTCGAGATGGTGTTGTAAAACTCCGCCACATACTCCGTCACCGCGTAATTAGTCTCACACCACTCGGTACTCGCTGTGATCGGCCCCCAATATCCATTGACGTCCTCGGAGCCCACCATGCCTCTACCTTCGCCGTTCACCGTTCCCCCTCCCTGCCTCCCTTCCTCCCCCCTTCCCTCCCTTCCCTCCCCGCTTCTCTCCCTTCTTTCAGCCACAGATGAATGCCACGACACACGCGATCGTCGCGCACGCTCTCACTACAACTCACGCCTTCCCCCCCTCCAGCTGCTTCCGCACGCACATCCAGCCCCGCCGCCGCCGCTGTCCCCCCGCCAAACGCCACCCAGCAACTGTATCCTCCCTCCTCCCTGCTTCGCTGCTTCTCCGCGCACTAGCGGATCCCGAAGCCTCTGTCGGCCGATAATGTTGCGCCGACGAATTACCCGCAACCCGCCGCCACCTGTCCGCCACCAGTCCGCCACCTGTCCGCCACCTGTCCGCCACCTGTCGGCCACCTGTCAGCCACTATTCAAGGACAAAGATGAAGGAAAGGAGATGAATCTATTACGGTAGCCCCGTCGGGCGTCCGTGGACTTGTGATGGATGGCAGAGAAAGGACAGGACGGCGAGGCGGAGTGCGACAGAGGGAGGGATTGCGATTTCCGCTCCCGCTCACAGTGTCCGTCCCGCTACCATACTGGGAGCGTCTTCGGTCAATACTTCCCAGGTTTATCTCTTCTTCTCTCCTCTTCTTTCTTCTTCTTCGTCGTCGTCTTCCCGAATCTTTCTCGTCTCGGGCTCGCCCACGCTCCTTCCTCCACCTGTCCCCGTGTTCCTCCCCCTTTCCTTCTACCGCGTAGCTCCTCAGAGTTGCGCCGGACTGATCTCCGCGTGTGCTCTCCCCGAGGCCACCTCGTACGGCTCCGCTGGGTGCTCCTCGACCCGCCCCCTGCTCCGCCCCGTCTACCGTGGGCCCCCTGCTCCGCCCCGACCACCGTGGGCCCCCTGCTTCCGCCCCAACTACCGTGGCCCCCCTGCTCAGCCCCCACTACCACTGGACATGGACAGTGACTTTCTTTATTTTGTTTCGTTTTGGGTGACAGCCTTGAGGTATCATCATCATCATTGCAATGACCGGCCCCAGGTAATTCAGATTGTCTCGGTCGAACACAGACCTCAGGGATGATGTAAATGTAAATGTTTGTACAGCTGATTACCTCAGTGGTGCTAATGTTTGTACAGCTGATTACCTCAGTGGGTAGAGCACCGGTTGGAAATGCGCGTTGTGGCCTGAGGTTGTGAGTTCAAAACTCCAGCCTCCTGCATGGACACCGCCAGGCGTTGACAGCGCATGGCTGTACACACCTTTCCCTTGGGATTGGTGTACGGTAAGGATTAGAGACAAACTGCCACCGGCGGGCGGGCGTTCACAGTGCATGGCTGTACACACGTTTCCCTTGGGATCGGTTTACGGTAAGGATTACAGACAGACACTGCCGCATCACCCGAGGGTTTGGTCCGGGCTATGAGGGGTTGTTCAGAGGTTCTTGGTACGTGGATTGTTCATATGATTGTCCCCCCCGGTCTAGCATAGCGCATGAATATATTATACCAGTTGTCACAGTAGCTCAGTTGGCCATAGAACTGCCCAGGCTGATGATGATATCTCGGTGGAGTTTTTGCGCGCTGCTACATATTATACCAGTTGTCACAGTAGCTCAGTTGGCCATAGAACTGCCCAGGCTGATGATGATATCTCGGTGGAGTTTTTGCGCCGCCCACGGCGCCGGTAGCAGCGCTCGGGGCCTAGCGCCGCCGGCTGAGTTTCACAACGGTGAACCTGCCAGCCGTCAAGTGGTTCTCGCGCCACCACGATGCGAGTTACCACGGTAAAAGCGGCAACCATGGCTTTGGCTATGGCGGCATGATTGTATCAAGCCTGCCCTGTGTTCACCGTGTGGAAGGAGTGCCATGGAGATTTAAGGAGCAAAGGCTCCCCTGCTTTGTGCTAGGGTGGGTCGCTATCTGGGACTGGTATTTATGTTGTCTGATGATCAGGGGCTGGTCCCCTTGGGGTGCAGTCCCACCCCGTAAGCGAAACTGGGTAATGCTCCCAGCCCTCCGGGTAGACTGTGAGGACCCCGACCTCGTTTCGATTTCAAGCCTTGGGCATTGGGTCCGTGTTATTTAAAAAAAAAAAAAAAAAAAAAAGTAGCTCAGTTGGTTTGAGCTCTTGGGCTGTATGGATGATGGGAGGAGGTCCAGGGTTCAAGTCCAAGTGGTATGATCGAGCACATAATGGATATAGGTCGGTTCTAGAGGGAGTAGGTAGCAGGGGTAACATGGATTGGGGAGCCTTGTTTCGAAGGGTGCCATGTAGAAGGGACTTGGTGCCAGGGCATTCAAGGATATGAGCGGAGCCGAAGCAGATTGGGGTTGTCCTGATCTAATGATGGGTAACCATTAGGGGTGGGAGGTAGCTTTCATTGGGTGGCTGCAGCAGTGTCAAGGGAGATGTCTTGGGACTGTACCGGAGTCGGAGCAGAAACGGCTGAGAAACCCTTACAAGGGTACCTGCTCGGTATTTTTAATGACAGTCACTGTCCGACATTTGTGAAAATTTTTGACTTGATGAGATTCGCGCGTTTACCAGAAGTTTATTCAGACCTGACCTGTAACTAGGAGGCTAAGACTTTTCTTAAAGTTTGAAACCGAATGTGTGACGACACCCGAGAAGTGACCGGCGTGTGACCGATCGTATTTTGCTTGTGACTGCGCCACAGAGGCACATGGACGTATGGATGCTTAAGCTAGTAAATATATCCTACCTAAAATAATGATGCGCGGCTACTAAGCCATGCGATTCTAAGGCCTATGTAGGCTAAAAGGAACAACCACGTCCGGTATGGGGCCACGATGCGGGAGAAACGGAATGCCTATTTAATTACTTTTCTAAATTAATGAGTCGTGGGGTTTGATTCCGATTCGGGGACCGAGAAAACGGTATTGTGGGCTACCAAGTTGGATGACCGTTCAAGCCGTGGACAGGCAGCCAGCCGAAGGGAAAAGGGCCAGCAGGCAAGGCCTGGTAGGCCATAAGCAGGCGAGCTATTGGAGGCAAAGCCCTTCATATAGCAAAGTTACTCCTATTATATTACAAACAGGAGCTAGCCCAATAGGTAACATACCATCCTGATACACCGTAGGTATCGGGATAGAGGTCATGATGCCACATTGGACAAGCTCCTTTCGGAGCCGTCCACTGGCCAAAAGCGACAAGGCGAGGGCGATTTCGACCACGTGACCTTCAAGATCTCACAGTTGAAAGTGGTCACGCGATTTGAAGTGACTTGCACAAGGATGACACACATAAATCGAGAAATTGTCTAAATTCCTCTTGTTGATCCCGTGAGGGATTGAACTCATGTCTGCATCTCATAAGACACGGCTGGAGAGCCACGTGAAGTCACGTGTCCTTTGGCCTAAGCCAAACAGGAAAAAAAAAAGAAAAAGAAAAAAAATTAAAACTATAAAAGTTAAATGGCGCACTTTGAAGTGACTGGGAGTTAAATTTCTCAAAGTCTGACAGAAGGCGCCCGTTTCCACAGACAACACTGCCAGAAAGTTGCTTTTTATCCTTTGTTTTATATTTATTTTAATATTTATTTTAAATTTATTATTAATTTTTTTTTCTTTTTCTTTTTTTTAGTGTTTACTTGTTTTTGAAGAGTCACCCGTTCGAGCAACAACGAGATGCCCCTCAAAGAGACCTGAAGAAAGTGGGATAAATTATGGTAATGTATCTTTCCACATTCTCGTGGAAGATTCTGTTTGCGAGAGGGAGGTCACATTATGTGAGTTTGATTTTATTTTTATTTTTTTCCCCCTTTGTTTTGGGGGTTTTCATCTTTGGTTCTTCCCTTTTGTTGTGACGTCGTTTTAAGTTGCACCTGTTCATTTTCAGGAAAAGGCTATAACAACCAATGACGTGCCAAAACCTGACACTCTTAGTGTGCCAAATACGGATGCTCGTAGGAAAAAGGGGGGGGGGAATCCTATTGAGCTTGACTATAGTTAGACTATGCGAAATGATTGCAGGAGGGCAGCCGTTCATTTTCGAACGACGAGCTGCACGATATAAGAGAAACGGGGGGGGGGAGGGAGACTAGGAAAAAAAAGGGGGAGAAAATAAAAGAAAAGTTGGGAGAAGAAACGAAACAGTCATGTATGTGGTCGCAGTCGTGGTTAGGTGTGTGTGTGTGTGTGTATATATGGTTAAGGGTGTAATTGGACCCTTTCATTTAGTGAAGGGGTTGCGATAAAAAAAAAGGGAAAAAAAAAAGGAAAAAGAGCTCAATGAGCTCGACTGTTCCTGACCCTTGATCGAGATCAAAGGCTCATCATGAGTTTGAGTCATGGAGCAAACCTTCGACCACAGTATAAAGGCAACTCTTCCCCCATCTTCTTCATTAATTCGAGCAGCTGGAGGAAGTGTTGTTTGGAGAAGCAGTGCTTGTGGAGGTGCTGCTCGGTGGAGTGGTGTTGGAGGTTTGTTGGGTAAAGGAGATGAACGCAATGGCGATCTGCAGGAAGGTAGAGTGAGGGGCAAAGGCAGCCAACCATAGCCAAGGCTGGGGTCACTCGACCTCGGTGATGGGGCTGGTGTTGCGCTAGTAGTTTTTTTTTGTAGATCCACAGTTCTGCCCTAAGTTGGTTACGGCGGTGCAGCAGACTGAACCTACATTTTAGTGGGGTTGTGCCGCCGAAGTGCTTCCTCGTCGACGCTGTTTTTTTTTGGGGGGGGGGGGAATGTTGTCGGATTGTCGGCACGATAAACGGCGTCAATGCAATGCTTCGAGAGGAAATGCTGCCTGATTGGCAGCATGGCATCAACAGGGATTTGGAGAACGAAGTGTTGCTCGGTCAGTGGCACAACAATAATGGTACATCGGATAGAACCATGCTGTTGAAGTTCTTGGGTATGTCGGGATATTATTTTGAGAGAATGTGCTGCCAAAAATGTGCAGTGCAGTGAACCCTTCTTTGTTGGGCACGATCAGGTGGTGGTGTTGAGCGACCGTGGTACTGGTTTTAACAAATGGCAAGCAGTAGTCCCGCATTATTTTATCTTTTTTAAGTGTGAGGTGGTGGTGGAGATCCGACGGTGGTATGAGTGTTGGTGTACATTTTGGGCATGAATGAGAGTGTCGGGTTTGGGGAACGACGGTGGACTAATTTTCATGTGGTAATTTTGTGTGAGTTATCGATATTTGAAGGGGGCAAGACTGTTGGTACCACCCAGTGGACAGTTGATTCACTTTGATGTGGGGAATTACCTTGGGTACATGGATCATCGACCTTGTTTGGAATGCGCACATTCTGTGTCCAGGTCGTTGGAACTTGCGGCGCGTGTGGCAGAGTGATCAGTGGGTTTCCGCTGTATTTGTGAGTTGTGTCGGAGGTCACTATTGTTTTTTTTTTTAGGTTAAAGTGCAAGCATTTTCTGTGAGAGTCATCTGGTATTGTGGGCGATGGTATGAGACCGTCTAGGACCACTTGAAATCATTATGGGATCGAGCGGGACCAACTCGTGGATCGAGATTTTTGGCATGAGCGGCTTATATTTCCCGTGTTTGCGACTTATCTTGTGCGGACGCAGTTATTTGAGGCGGGGTGGATATGCGGTTCTATTTGGGACAGCCCTTTAAGAAGATCGTAGTGTAGTAGGGCTGCATTGAAACTGTCTAGGATGTTGGGATCATGTGAGACTTATTCTTGAACGCACCCTCTTAGAGGGATACCTCATTTTAGTTTTTTCAGTGGACCCAACTTTTACTTATTTGAGCACTTGAAGAAGGAGGCGGACAATCATTTAGTGG